GTCGGGGGAGCGGATCGGGGGTGGGGGGGGGGCGGGAGCGATTGGAGAATTTCATCGCGGCGCGGGACGGGCGGGCGCCGGGGACGCGCGCGGTCGATCCGTGGTACGAAGGGTCGCGGGCGAAGGTGTTGGCCATGGCGCACTCGAGAACGGGTGCGCGAGCGGTGTGCTGCGTCGCGAGCGGGGGGGTGTACGTGGTGCCGATCGCGGCGATGGCGCGCGGCGAAGGCGGCGGCGGCGGCGCGGCGATGCGAGTGTTGGCGTCGAGAGGTCCGCGACCGGTGAGCGCGGTGTGGTGGTATCGGATGCTCGAACGCGAGCGGGAGGATGATGAGGTGGCGATATGCGTCGGCGTTGACGGTGAAGTTCGGGCGTGGGACGCGAAGAAGGGGGTGTCGCTCGGCGCGTGCGTCGTCGGCGGGAAGTGCGTCGGCGCGGAGATAGCGCGAGGCGAAACGTCGCAGTTTCTCGTCATCAACGGCGCTGAGGGCGAGGTTTGGACGCTGATGCTCGAGTGTATGACGCGCGTCGTTAAGACGTCGACGAGCGTTGAGAAGGGGGCGGCGCGCGTGGAGGCGACGATCAAGGCGGAGTCGCTTCCGGACGCCGCCGGATCGCACGGATTCGCCGCGCACGCGTTGACGAATGAGTACGGCGTGCGCGAGGGACGACGTGTGACCCTGAGCGTGCACGAAACGGGTGTAAATGACGATGCCCGTTCGACCATCGCGGCTTTGATCGATCGCAATCTTTTGGAGCTGTACGACGTCGACGACGCGGCGACGCCGAAATCGACGCACGCGTTGCCGGAACACACCGTCTCCGTGCACGTGACTGATGATTTAATCTTCGCCTTGGTTCGCGAACCGGTGTTTGGAGTCGAAGATTTGAACGACATCACATCGTTCACCGCCTCCGTGCACGTCATCGCTCGAAGATTCGACGTCAGCGGCTCGACGTCGCTCACGCTTCAGACGTTTCACATCCCGCGCTCCGCGGGTGTGCCGAGAAAGTTACTTCCGGGACCGGTCCAGGGTGAGAGTACGACCGGGCGGCGCGAAACGCTTCGGGGATGCATGGTTTGGACGTCGTACGGCTTGTACGAGATTGAACCGTCGTCGGACGTTCAGTCCTCCCTTCGAAGGCTCTTGCTCGACGATCGGCAGACTTTGACTCCGTCGTCGCTGAACGGCGAGGAGGACGATTGGGAACCGATCGATAGAGTAATGAATGATGAAGTGCACACAGTTGACGACAACGAGGAGCGCGTGAAGCTCCTCTCGCGCGTTTTAGAGGAGGATTCCGTAGCGGTGTTCATCGAGGCGGCGCGTCGCGAGCTCAAGCGACAGCGTTTCTCTCGAGCTCGTACGTTGTTCGGTAAAACGGGTAAACCTCTGAAAGATTTCATAGCGCTGAGCTTAGAGGTGTGGGAAGCATCGCAAGCATTGACGAACTTTTCCTCTTCGTCCACGGAGGCGTACGGTGGACACGCAAACATGACTTGGTTGAAGACGGCGACGGCGGCGCATGCGCATTTGCACGCGTGGTGCAAGGCATCGACCGCCGTCGCACTGAGCGCAGCGAAGGAGATCAACGGTTCCCTTGAGGCACGAATGAAAACGCTGAGCATTAACCGGCAAGACTCATCGCCTGGGCAAGTGGTGAACGATCTCTTGAGCGTCATCGGCGAAGGTGTTGACGAGAAGTGGGATGATCCCGAGCTTCGCGAGGCGGCGTTCTCGGCGAGCGCCGCCGTTGTCGCTTTCGAAGCGGCGAATGCCGTGAGTGAGACAGTGAGTACGTCGTGCGCATCGGACACGTATTCCGATCGTGTCAAAGAGCTGTTCACCGTTATTTTAGCGTCATCGTCTACCTTGGAGAGCCTGCACATGCTCGGCGGGATCACCGCGAACGCAACTAAGCACACCGCGTCCGACTCGGGCGGCGTGATCGTTCCGTGGGAGCCTAAACCGTTGGTATTTTGGGATCCTAATGTAACTTTCTACGTCACGGCCACGCAAAGTTTGGATGATTTGCACGACATCGTTACCACTCTTGGTTTGCGCAGCGATTATTCAAACACGGCCGAGGCGACGCCATTGGAGATGTTGTACGACACTCTGACCAAAGACGAGCTCTCTTCGCTCGCGAGCATGGCCATCGCGGCGAAAGAAGACGGAGTTGTCGGTGCGTTTGAAGTAGAGATGTCGATTTTTTTCCGGCTCGAGGACGAGGACGCGCTGGGTGAGCGCATCGATCGCGCGCTCGATGACAGTCCCGCCATGTTCGCCTGGATCATCGCCAAGTGCGTGGATAAACGAAAGTTTTTACTCGCGGAAGCCGCAGCGCTTAGGATGGAAGATTATGCCACCGCTGCACTGTGTCATGTGGCGCATGTGCGGAATCTTGCCGCCTCGGGCAACGCAACGCCGTCGACGCTCCAAGCCGAACTGGAGATTGGCCTCGAGTCGTGCGTCGCTTTGATCTCGTCAACACGCGCTCAAGTGAAAACTATAGAAGGTCTCGCTAGATGTTGGCGAGAACTCGGTCTCGCGACGGACGAGTTAGAGCGTGCGTTTTCAAATCTTTTGTTACCGCGCGGTCACGCCGAGGCGTTGCAGATCGTTTTGAAGAGCGATATCGGCTTCACATTCAGTGGTCGCTTCGTCCTCGCCATCGCGCGTCAGAGAATTGCCGATAACGAGGCCAAGTACTTGGCGAACGAGAGCGCGACTATTGAAAACATCTGGTCGCAGATCAAGTCCGACGTCGCCAAACGAATGGTTTCACCGGAGATGGTGCAAACTAAACCATTCAAAGCCGTGGAACTGGACGCCGTGAACGCCAGCGGGATGCCACAGTGTTGGGCTTTTACGTGTGGGCATCGATACAGCATTAAAGAGCTCAAAAACGAAGTTGCGATCACGAACGAACGTCTGAAACTCTTAGATTTACCCGTGACATCCATCTTGCTCGAGAGTGACTACGAGTTGCGTCGTTGCTCGGTTGCGTGTCCGTCGTGCACGCGGAAGGCGGTCGAGCTTAGCGTCGAGCGCTATCGCGCCGCCGCAACGGCGTGATTGAGCGCCTAAATTGTAAATTGTTGTAGATAATTGAGTAGTAGCTATACAACGAATACTAGATTGCACCTTCTACGCCGTATCGACAGACGGACTCATCGCGATCTCGTCGACGTACGACGGCGTCCTGGACTTCGCGTCGCCCAGGGTTTCTTCGAATTTGCTCACCGCGGAACGGACCTGAGAGCCGTACATGCGATCCTTCGAAAGAAGCTCGCTCGCGATGGACTGGATGAGAGGAGCGTATTCCTTGACGAGTTCAATCCCTCTCGTGTGGGCTCGCATCATGACATCTCGCGTACCATCCTCCATGCCCTCACGAGGGATCCTAAACTCATGGAGCATGACTGGGTCCATGATGGGGAGCACCTTCTTGTCAGGGTAGAGACCGCTCAAGCTCACTATTTCGAACGCCATCTCCGCCGCCGCGGCGACATCTTCGTTGGTTCTGATGGTGACACCATCGGCGCCAAAAAAGTGAAGTTCGGCGCAACGAGCGATGAGCATTACGGCCAACGACTCTATGTAATAATTGAGAGTATCTGGACCGTCGTTGGCGTGAATCTCCGCCTCCGCCTCGGGAGAGCGGTCGTTCACAATGATGCCTGAAATTTGCGATCCGCGGGGGCGGATGGAGACCTGGAGCACCTCTGGGCAGATATCAGGACGAGCCGAGAAAATCACCGCCTTCGCAGCCTCGATGATGGCCAAGTGCTCTTTTCCCCAACCTCCTTCGAGCGGAGCAGAGATGAGACCAACTGCTTGCTTTTCCAGGATGGCTTCGATGTCCGCGATGTCAATCACATCCTTGTCGTTTCTCACGCTCAAAATGGCAGCCTCGTTGAGCAAGTTGGCCAATTCTGCGCCCGAGAAACCCGTGGTGAGATCGGCGACGCGATGGAGGAAAGCATCGGTCTCGTACTTTTCGTCACCGGCTCGGTTGATGTTGAGCTTGCGAGCGTGCACTTGCAAAATCGGCATGCGCGCCTCCGCCGTCGGAGGCACTCCAATGTGAAACACGCGATCGAATCTCCCCGATCTCAACAGCGCTGGATCGAGTTGTGACGCCAAGTTCGTCGCTCCAATCACTAGCACCGCCTCACCCGATTCCTTGTTATCGAATCCGTCCATCTCGACCAACATTTGCATCAAACCCTGTTCGCGCTCCGACGTTGAATCGTCGCGGAACGCGTTTGAGGCGCGACTGCGACCGATGGTGTCGAGCTCATCGATAAAAATGATGGCCGGTGCGTTCGTGCGAGCGCGCTTGAACAAGTTACGCATGCGACTCGCCGCAACACCGACGAACATCTCGACGAATTCGGAGCCATTGGCGTAAAAGAATGGCAGTCCGGCTTCGCCGGCGACGGCTTTCGCCAGGAGCGTCTTTCCCGTGCCAGGCGGACCCTCGAGTAAGATACCCTTGGGCGCCTCGACGAATCTTCCCTTATACTTCGGGTTCCCCTTCATGATATCAATGATGGTCTGGAACTCGCTCACCACCATGTCTTGACCGGCGACGTCGGAGAAGCGCACGTTGGACTGATTCTTTTTCACGAGCTTTGCCTTGCTCTTGCCCATTTCCGAAGCCAGAGCGTCGCGCTCATTCGCCTGTCTCTGCGTCTTCGCACGCTTTCGCAACACATCCGCGCTCCTATCGGCGGCGTACGCGGATGAAATCACCCAGCCTATGAACCAGAAGAACGTCCCCGCCATGATCCAGTTGCGCGCGCCGTGAATCGCGTAGTTCCACGGAGAAATATTCATGAATACCTGACACGACGACTCCGGCGTGGTGAACATGTCGTTTGGATTTGCCGGCTTGGCGTAAAACGCCTTCTTACACGCGAGCGTCACCTCTTCGTGCGCGTCTCCCGGGATCTCCACCTTCCACCGAATGACGTCGATCGAGCCCGGATCTAGGTGCGCGCCCGGACCGCCGATCTCCACGATCGCCGTGTGCCCGTTCTCGTACAGCAACACCCTGGAAACTTGTCTCTTTTCTAAAAATTCCAGAAACTGCGCGTACGTCGCCTCCCCGTCGACGCGCGGCCAGATTCCGAGCTTTTCCGTCCACCGCTGCAGCCCGAACCGCACGTACACGCGTTCGCTCGCATCCGGATACGTGTCCTCCATCTCCTTCCTGTTCACCTTCCTCGCTCGACGATACCGCGCCAACTTTTTCCGAATATCCGGATAATCCATCGCAATCTCATTCAACTTTTCATTCTTCCCGCTTCGAAACGCGCGCTCGACGGCTTGAAACTGCGCCTCCTCCGCCCGCGCGTCCCACTCCCGCCCCGCCCGCAGCGCCCGCGCCTGCGCCTTATGATCGACAAAGTACTGATCCACGAACGGCGCCGCCCACCTCGGGACCGGACTCGGCGCCACCGTCGGCCTCGGATCCACCACTCTCGCCGTGACCGCGCCCGGGATCGTCTCGTCGCGCGCGCGCAGCGCCCGCCCGATCCCATTCATCACCCCTCGCGCGAGCTCCACCACCGCGTTCGACGCCTCCGCGTCACGCACACCATCGACGTCGACGCCGTCACCCCTTCCGGGGCGCCCGTCGCCGCGCGCGCGCGTCACGGCACCGCGCCGCGCCGCGCTGACGTGCGAACGTCCACGCGGTCGAGTCGTCGTCCGCCCCGCGCGCGCGCGATTTTCAGACCCCGCCGCGGTCGCGGACGACGACGCGCGCGCGCGCGAAGCGGCCATCTCTCGCGCGTCTCACCGCGCGCGCGCGTGCGGCGTCGCGTCGACGCGCGCGGGGCGAGGAAACCCTCGATCGGGGGCGTCGCGGTGCTCTCTGGGTTGGGTAAAATCAGCATCACGATCTCCCTCACGACCCGAAACTTCGTGATTTGCATCACGATCACGACCCATCGATCGTGATGCGACCTTGGAGGAAATTTCAAGCTCGCGGCGACGCTCTTCGAGGGGGTGCTAGGGTTAGAACAGTGACACAATTTACTTATCATCACTGTATTTCCTCGAAACCGGTACCGACATAGCGTATTATCAGTCACGTGATGCTTATCAGTGATGTATACCCGTCAATATCAGCAAATGATAGGCTTTACATACACTCAATATAGCATCATGATCTGAATCATCGATTTCGTGATCGGCGTCAGCATCACGACTCATAGATCGTGATGCGACCAACCTAGGGTGCTCTCGGGCGTACACAGGGGTGTGTGGTTCACAGTACGTGTACACGTCGTGTACTGTGGTGGGTATATGTATATATATCGCTCACGCGAGGGGGTGGGCGGTGTATATAGATGTATAGATGTACATAGTACGTGTATGTATAACACGTAGTGTAATAGAGTATACGCTATGTGTGTGAACAACATCGGCGATCGTCCCTCGGCCACGGCCCCGGAGAGCGCGCAGGTTTTTATTTTATTCCTCGTCTCGCGACTTGGACGACGACTTGGACGACGACTTCGACGACGACTTCGACGGAGAGCGCGGCGGCGGCGGCGATGGGGCCGAGCGGCGCGGCGCCGCGCGCGCGCGCGTTGCAGGTGTGGACCCTGCTCCTGCTCACGGCGCAGAACACGGCGTTGGTGCTCGTGACGAAGATGTCCTACCGCGACGGCGGTGCGGCGCCGTACGTCGCGAGCACGGTGATCGCGTGCTCGGAGATGGCGAAACTGCTCGCGAGCGGTGGGTTAGTGCTCGCGCTGGACGGTGAGCGGGAGTTTTGGAGCGCGGTGCGGGAGATTCCTTCGAGCGCGTTTCGCCTGGCGCTGCCGTCGGTGCTGTACGTGGTGCAGAATAATTTGCTGTTCGAGGGGATTCGGTTGCTCAGTCCGACGGTGTACATGGTGTGTTCGCAGAGTAAAATTTTGACGAGCGCGTTGTTCGCGTACGTGTTGTTGAAGACGACGGTGACGAGGACGCAGGCGGCGTCGCTGTGCGCGCTCGTGGTTGGGATGATTTTAGTTCAAGCGCAGGATGACGGGTCGGCGAGCGGTGGGCGCGGGGATTCGGGCACGTCTCTGCGTGGTCTCGTGGTCGTGTTCACGGCTTCGATGACGTCGGGATTCGCGGGGGCGTACTTGGAGAAGATGTATAAACAAGTCGGCGTCGTCGGCGTTCCCGCGCGATCGATTTGGGTGAGAAACATGCAACTCGCGTGCTTCTCCGTGCCCATAGCGATGTTCACCGCGATGAACAAGGACGGCGCGCGCCTGGCGACGCAAGGATTCTTTGGTGGCTACGACGGCATCGTCATCTTGATCATCGCCCTTCAAGCGATCGGCGGTCTCATCGTCGCGGCGGTGATGCGATACGCGAGCAACGTATTGAAGTGCTTCGCCGTGTCTTTATCCATATGTAACTGCGCCGTGGCGACGACGTACGTTCTCGGCGACGGGACGGATGGCATGAGCGCACATCAGATGCTCGGCATCGTCCTCGTCATCGGCGCCACGTTCGCGTACGCAAACAAATAGTCTACTATCATATGATTACAGCCGAACGCATTTTTCACGAAGACGGAGACGCGCGCGCTACTCGTACACAGCCTTCGACCTAGATAACGTACTGTAGTGCGTCGTCGTCCTAGGAAGCTTAAAATGTAACAAGACCTCGCGGTCCGTCGCGACATCCGCGATCCTTTGACTCCCCGTCGACATCGCGGGTCTCGTCTGCATCTGCCACCGATACTCCACGCTATCGCTCGGTTCAATGCTGTCGTACAACAGCGCCGGACCGGTGTAATACAATGAGTGATAATAGACGGCACGTTTTCTGACGTTTTCAGAAATCTTATCCATCGCCCGCTCGAACACCGCGCTCCCCCGGCGCGCGCACATGAACGCGTTCCACACCTGCCCCGGCCCGCCCGCGCTCTTGTACACGTTTCGATCGTACACCAACAGCAACTCGTGCCGGGCGTCGCGCACTAAATCATCCAACGCATCCACGACGACGATATCGTCGTCGATCCACACCCCACCCTCCGTGTACAAGATGCAATACCGCAATAAATCCGCCTTGAACGCCGTCGGCGCGAGCCCGTCGTACGCCTCCAGCCGTCCCTCGCAATTCTCCCGCACGTACTCCCGTCCCTCCTCGACGTCGTACGTTCGCACCGTCCACGCCGAATTCGCCCGTCGCGTGAGATCCAGCGGGAACGAGCGCTCGTGCGCCAACGTCAGCGTGTGCATCACGCGCGGGATCGCATCAATGGTCGTCCCGTTCTCCATCGGCGCGTGCGTCGGTACTCGCCGCGCCGCCGTCCGCGCGCGCGCGAGACCGCGCGCGAGGGCGAGGCATAGTATCACGCATCCGCACGCCAAATATCGCCCCGCGCGGACGCTCGCGCGCGAGACCGCGGGCTTCATCGCGCGCGATGATGTGGCGACGCTTCCCACACTTTGTCATGGTGACTGTGCGCGCCGCGAATCCCACCCGGGCGTCCAACGTCGCGTCGTCTCGGGACAGAACCCCTCGACGCGGTCCCGTGCGTTGGCTAATGAATGTTTCGTGTGTGTATTGATAACGCTACGCCGAGGCGGCGGCGCGTAGTCGATCCGCGACGTCCGCCACGACGCGCTCGTACGTGAGTTCTCGCATCAGCGCGCGCGCGTTCTCGGCGATGCGCTCCATCTTGCGTATAGATGCCGCATCCGTCCTCGACACGAGCTCTGTCTTTTCAGCCAAATCGCTCAAATCCGCGGCGACGCCGACGTAATGCGTGCCGTCGACGAGTCTCTTCGTGTAGTAGTGCTCGAAATTTGATTTCACGATGAACACGACGCTTCCGCTCTCCATGCGCCATCTGTTTCCCCACGCGTCGACGTTTCCGTCGATCTCTAGTATGCCCTTGTGCTCCACCCATGTGGCTTCGGGCGCGTGCTCGCCCATCGCCCGCGCGTTCGGAACGGATTGACGCGCGCACGCCTGCACTCTGCGACTCACCTTGACGTCCAACCACGGGACGGATTCCGCCGCCACCGCCGCCTTCACTCTGGGAAGACGCGCGCACGCGTCGCTCCCGGGCGGATCATCCGAACCGACGCTTTGACAACTCGCCTCAGACGACGCCCCGCACTCGATCGTTCCCGTGGTCGATCCTCTCCAAAACACCGCCGGTTTCCGTCGCGCGAGCGGCGCGCGCGTCTTCGCGTCCAACGCGTCGAGTTTCCCCCGAAACCCCTCCGTCTTGATGAAGTGAAAGTTCGGCACGAGAATGACGTTCTCACGCATCGACGTCGTCTTCACCGAGTGCGCCAAGACGATCACCCCCGTCGCGCGCAACGCATCCACGACACGCCCCGGCGTCGTCGCGTCGTCCTCCATGACCCAAAACACCATCACCCCCCCACCCTCGTCCATCCACCCATCCGACGCGTCGACGACGTCGCCCAAAAATTTCAACGCCCCGTCCAAGTACCCGTGATTCATCCCGCGTCGTCCCGCGCGCGCGATGCCGTACCTCGACCGTCGTCCGCCGCCTTTGAGCGCGAAGCACGCCGCGTTCGCGTCTCCAATCCCATCCCACCCCTCGACCGCTCGCTTCACGTCCTCGCACGCGCGCGCGTCGCGCGTCCACCGCGCCCGGTGCCGATGCCCGAGCGCACCGCGCGCGAGGACGTCCACGAGCGCGCGTCGCCGCGATGCGAGCGTCACGACGAATGCGACGACCGCGAGCGCGCGCGCGAGGGCGCGACGACGCATTCGCTCGCGCGTCGCGTGCGTCGACGTCGCGCGCATGCACCGCGGCGCGCGCGCGCGCGGCGGGCGTCGTCGACGCGACGCGATGGGACGCGACGCGTCCGTCACCGGCGTGTGATTTTTCACTTTTGTGTGTCGACGATGTGATTTTTGTCTTCATCACGGCATCGACATCGTCGTCGTCGTCTCGGCGATGTGCGTCGTCCGCGCGTCGCGTCGGCGCGTCGGTGACGAGGCGATTTTTCCGCGCGTCGCGTCGTCGTCGTCTCGGCGATGTGCGCGGTACGCGCGTCGTCATTCATTCATTCATTCATTCATTCATTCACGCATCGTCGATGGCGATGGGCGTTTGATGTCATTCACGATCACATCGATCGTCACGCGTCCGCGTCGACGTCTCGGGACGTCGGCGCGCGTCGGGTCATCGCGACGCCCGTCGTCCGCGGCGTCGTCCGCGGCGTCGCGAGCGCGCGCGCGAGAGAGAGAGGACGATGATTGGACGACGCGCGCTCGGCGTCGCGTGCGTCGCCGCGGCGCTCGTCGCGACGCTCGGGACGTTCGCGACCGCGCGCGCGTCCGTCGTCGTGTTCGGACGCGTCGTGGGGTCGGGCGCCGCCGCGGTGGGCGCGGTGGGGTCGGGCGGCGCGGCGGCGGCGGCGGCGAGACGGGTGGCGGCGGCGGCGACGGCGGCGACGACGACGGCGACGACGGGTGGACGGCCGAGCGCGATCGAGGGGTTCGACGTGTACGACGGCGCGTCGGCGGGACGGCCGGCGACGCGGACGTACGTGCGGCGCGATGGGACGACGCCGCGCGTGGGGTATCACGTGACGTGGTGCTGCGAGAACGACGTCGAACATTTGGCGACGCGCGTTCGCGGAATCTCGCGGGAGACCCTGGGGTTGGTGTTCGTGTCCAAGGGTAATCGTTTGGGATGTCGTGGTTTAAGCGCGAGCGTGCTGAATCACACGTGGATGTGCGCCGAGACGGAGAACGCGCAGGGACGGGAGGTGGACGCGATGGCTTGGTTCATGCGTCGACAGTACGACGCGCTCCCGGAGATCGTCGTCTTCACGCACGACGATAGATATTATTTCCCGCACATGGAGGCGTTCATCGAGGGATTACGAGAGCGAGACGTCGCGGGGGGCGACGTGGTGGGATTCGTCGCGGCGCGGGCGAAGACGATGGACGAACTCCTCGCGCGAGCTCCGGAGAAAAAATCTCCCTCGGAGCTCACCGAAGACGCCTTCGTCTCCGAGAACGTGGTTCACGAAAATCTACACGCGATGTACGCGTACGTGAACACGTTCGCTCTGTTGATCGGGACGTTTTTTGAGGTCAAGGCGAGCGCGAGCGAGCTCGAAGTGCAAAACGAGACGCACGAGTTGCCCGGTTGGCGGCTCTCCGTGAAAACGCTCGGCGACGACATCTATTGGCCGGTCTCCGCGAACTTTGCCGTGACGAAAACCATGATTCGAGGTCGCACGCCACAGTTTTGGGAAGCGGTGATCGCGCTCGCGACGTGCGACGGAAAACTCACGTCGCACTCGTTCGAGTACACCGCCGCGCTCGAGTGGGCGCACACGTTTGAGCGCGCGTGGTTCCCGATCGCGTTCAATCCGAATCTTCGCGAGAGATCTCCCGAGGCGTACGCCGACTGCCTTCTCGACCCCAAGTCTCGATGTTACGAAGTGCTCGACTGGGATCGAGACGTGCGCGAGATTATTCGATACGACGCCGAGCGCTTTGAGAACATGACGAAATACGAGTACAGGCAGGCGGCGCAAACGCGAGGCCTGCGCGTCGAGAACGATCCTCGAGACGTCGTGAAGAGTTGCGGCGCGAACACGTGGAGCGATCACGCGAATCACGAGCGAGGAAAACTTGAAATTTAGTCTTCACCGCTCGCCGCGCGCGCGCGCGTAAAACGTAGCCGCGGATGTAGATATTTATTCGTCCCGTCGCGCGCGCGGACGCGTCGTCCATCTTCTCGCGCGCGCTACTCCACCGCCTCGATCGCATCCGCATCGTCCTCGATCGCCTCCTCGTCCTCCTCGATCGCCTCCTCGTCCTCTTCGTCCTCCGCGTCTTCCTCGACCACGACGTAGTACTCATCCGCGTCGGCGTCGTAAAACACCTCGTTCCCATCCTCGTCCACGTACGCCACTCTCTCTCTGTCCTCCGCCCACGCCTCGTCGTCGTCCAGAGCATCATCATCGTCATCATCGTCCTCCTCCCACGGCCACGCGTCCACGGGGCGCGACGCGACGGCGGTGAACGTCGCGACGATCGTCGCCAGCACCGTTCGCCGCGGCGCGGTACAATCCCATCGTCGCGTCGCGTCCGCCACCGCCCGCGACCGCGCGACGCGCGATCGCTCGCGGGCGCGACGTAGGGTCGCACCCGCGCGCGCGCGCGGTCGCGAGGCGGTCGTCCACGGCGTCGCGCGCGACATCGCGTCGAGCTCTCGCGCGGTCACCGCGGTGGATCCACAGATTACGAATTCACCGAGCGCCTGCAGGCGCTCGGTGAATTCGTAGACGTCCTTCGGAAGACTGGCCAAGACGCCGATGACGCCGTTTGCCGTTCCGAATAACAGCGTCGGGACGCTCAGGGACTCACCGTCTCGTAAACTCATCACCAGTGATCCCGGAGCGAAGGCGTTCACGAGTTCACCTAAGTGATATTCCCCCGTGATCTCCAGACGACTTCGCTCCTCATCCGTCACGGCGTTCACGTTGCGGGAAACGGTGAAGAGGTTCAGGCTGTTCTCGGCGCCGAGATACGTTTCGTCGTC